CTTTACCAAGAAATAAGAGAAGAACCAAGAAAGAAACAGTAGCCTGTGGTAAAATGATGATCAGTAGAATCTCCTACCCAATCAGCATTACAATAACAATACAAATCCTAGGAGGAACTAGAGGAAAAATCCAAACCATGAAACATAGTACCTTTGACATATTGTAGGATCCGAATGACCAAAGTAAAATGAATAGATCGAGGAACATACAAAAATTGACTAACTAGATAACATCATAGGCAATGTTTATATGAGTAACTGTCAAGTATATGAACTACCCACTAGAGTTCGAAATAAAGAAGGGTCTAAAAATGGTGTACCATTAAAAGAAAAAAGTTTCAAATCTGTTCAAGTGGTGATGATGCAATCTTACTATTAGTTAAACTTGCTCGAGCAATAAAATCAGAAGCATACTTTATTTGATCTATGGTTACGATGGCTACTTCAGAATATGGGTATTGCTCATCACTCTAATAATCTTATACTTTATGATAATCAAAGTGCCATTTAGATAGCTTACAATGATGTTTTTCATGAACGTACTAAACATATTGAAATTGATTGTCATTTCATTCGTTACCATCTACTTACTCAAACTTTTCAACTTGTTTTTATTACTAGTACTGATAAAAAAAGTAGATATCTTCACCAAATCATATTCACCTAATCAATTTCTTGTCTAAGTTTTCAAACTCAAGTTGGCCTCTATACTACCATCGTGAGTTTGCGGGTAGTGTCAATGATATTTTAGTAATATTTTGATAATATTCTAGATTGATGATATTATTCTAGTAATATTATAGTAATATTCTAAATTGATGGTAATATTCTAGTAATATTTTAGATTGATTTGATATTAGTTTAGAGAATATTATATATTGTTTTAGTTGATTATAAGAATTGATTTAGTCGTTATTTTTATTGATTGAATTTTATATTTTGTAACATTTTACTTCTATATAAATAGGCTTTAAGCCTCATTGTAAGATACAACTCATTACAATAAAGTTTTCATCATTTTTTTCTTTTTCAATCATTTTCTCCTTTTTCATGATTTTAACATTAACTAGCATTATTAATTGTCAATTTGATATTCTCATTACAAATTCTTGCCAGTTATAATTGATTGAATGTTTTTGAATTTTGAAGTTACTAATTTTCTTAAAATAAAAGGGAATTTTTCTCATGAATAAACCATCATTTTTCAAAATCTTTTTCCATTAGAACATACATCCCCATCAAAGGTTTACTTTCTTCACACACCCTATTGAGAAAGGGGAGGGGGGGTTACTTTGTGATTTTCTCTAAGCTTGTGAAACCGGTAAGAAATGCCACACAGCTTGAAATCATCATTACACTTTAGAGAAAGAATTGGCAGATGGGTCAATTTTATTCTAATTGATCAAAGGACTTAATTTCAAAAGTAATGGACTCATGTTTGAAGAGTTATCAGGTAATATTTGTTTTTAGATTTCATGATGGTAAAATGGAGTAGAGGGACGGATTGGACCTACTCAATTTCTTATTCTTCTTCTTGTCATAATTGCTAGGGAAAGAATTCCCCCTCCCTGCTCAGTTTTTTGTTCACACGATTGTTCCCCAATCTCATCTGAACTTGTTCAAAATTTTAATGTCTACTTCATGAAACATTCAAGTAGCAAGTGGAAATTTTCAGAGTAATTCTCATTCGTTTCAACTTCGAAATCCCAAAGTCATAATCATGTGGATGTTCCATTTCATAAGTAGCATACTCTCAATCTTAAAGCAAAATGGTGGTTCTGACAAAAAAAAAAAATGGTATTTGAGCAACCAACAAGCCAAAGTTCCTGGTTCAGGAAGCTTGTTTTTGTACATGTTGAATTTGTGAAGCTAATTTCTCCTGAGAAGTTGAGATGATTAAGCAACTTACCCTATATGAAAATTAAAACTAATATTGGGCAATTGTTTCAGATATATCGTTACGAGCTTAAGTCAAACAATACCCGACATAACTCCTTGTCCTTCTAATGGGTCAATACAGCTTTCCTCCAAGAACAACATTCCAAAAGATCCACAAATGAAGTTTAAACTGCTCCCTGTAGAATTTGGTAAAGGATTTTTTATTTTGATAAATGATCTTGACCTTAATGGCAAGGAAGCGAGATAAGAAACTATTATAAATGCAAACAAATACATTACATAATAATCGAGTAGAAATCTCAAAGTCCTGATGTATCAGATACAAAAGTCTTGGATGCATCAACAAAAGTCAAATAATATTCTATAAGATTCAATCCACAAACTATAAAATTCAGTTCGGTTTGCCTAAGCCAAATTAAATATAAACAGTCACTATCTTTCATGACACAAGGATCTTGAACAGGCCTTTTTTTTAATTCTATGCATAGCCGATTAAAGATTAAAGAATGAAGACAACTATATCTTAATCCCTTGACCAAAACTTACTTATAAACAAGAGTTGGTTAATTGCTTCCACTGTTTCTCAGCGTTTTTTCCTTCCTTTTTTCTTGCTTATCCCACTAAAACCAAACGAGTTTTGTTGAACTGCTGATATAATGTAAGGTTTGGTCAAATAATTGTACTTAAATAGTAATAGTTTCACTTTGGGAGACTATACATTTTTATCATTGACATATCTAGTTAGGGCTTTTCTTGGTTTCCTTCAACTGTGTCTAATATGATGTAATATGAACCAAATCTTTGTAAGTACTCAAGCAGAGATATAAAATGCGACTAACACACTTTTTCTGGGTTGAAAAACATACTAGTATTGAATATTAGTGGCTATTGAAAAAGGGGTAAGGGTTTAGAGAAAGTGATATTGTCATTTTGGGCTTAAAATAAAGGCCCAAAAGTAGTATTATCCATTGGTTCATTCTTTTGATGCAAATGCTTTTGTCCATGTTAAGAATAGATGACTTGTGGAATGCTTCACTCAGTGCCTCCTCCTATGGTTACGGCTTGCTAATTTGACATCCTGCTTTTCAGTCTTCAACATTACTTATCTTATTAAGGGATGCCTTAAAAAGGTTTGAAGAGTTAACATTTTTGTTCTATGTTCTAGTTAGGCATCTTATGAATGCCAAGGAGGAATGATGATGAGGGCTAATAACTGCCTTTGACTGCAACAAGGGGATTGGCTACTCCAAAATCTCGCAGTCCAATCTGCCCTCATATGGTGAAGCAGCACCCTTGAGGAGGACATCACAGACCAATGCAAATTGCAAAACCTTGAGTTGAGAGGAGATTCATTTGCTGCATAATTTACGGGTTATGAATATGATTTTAAGGCCTTTTTTGTCGACTCTTGTTTTCTCTGCTCAGATTAAGTATCGTATTTCTTGCACGTGGTTAGTGTGTCTTCAGATTATTTGCCTGCTATATATGAACTTTTTCTCGATAAGTGAATTTGCAAGATATTTCATTCTTGATTTGTTGAGAAAGGTTAACAAGATAGAAAGGAAGACTGATCAGGGGATACCAGTAGAAATTGGTGCAGATCCTTTGATTTAAGTTGGGATATAAATTCTTTTAGAAAAAATGGTCCAATAAATAAAGCTGTAATGAAGTTTGTAACTGCATGAAAACAATTCTGCTTGTAAGTCTTTCCCTAATGACTCCCACTTAGATCCATCATCAGTCGAGGAAGTTCACCTCTGATAAAAGAATCTCACGTCACTAATGACAATGTGACATATATGAAGGAAGACCCAAAAATTTAAAAGCTTAAATTTTTGGGTTTAAATGGCATCTAACGTATATATATGGATATTTTTCGATTTGCTCTCATGAATAAAGTATAGAAGATCTCTCCACGGTCTAATGCATGGACTTATTTTTTTCAGATCTGATTTGTAGATTTTTTTTTTGTATATTTTATTTTTATTTTTATTTATTTTGATTAAAAAATGATAAATTTGTAATTTTAAAAAGTAAAATTCATAATTATTTAAAATTGGACAAGTGTCAAGCATCTATACTTTTAGGTGATAATTTTAATATATAGTACTAGTGTTGTATCCCCACTTCGCTTAGGATTGGTTGAGGTCAATAATTTTTTTAAAATGTATTATAAAAATAGAATTAAAAATATTTAAATGCATTACATTTGTATTTATATATCAAATAAAAAATTAAAAGTTACACATATAAAAGAAATATTACAATTTAGTGAGAAATTAAAAGTTAATATTACAATTTTGTTTTATGTACCAAATAAAATAAAAGCATGAAACAAATCCATATATAAAAAAAAATTCCCTTAAACAAAATTCAACTAAAAATGCAAGTCTCATACCTCAAAGCCTATTAAATCCAAAAAAAATAATAGTTGTCATATGTAAAAGACTTATCCATATTTCCTCACATCTCAAAGCCCACTACATCCCACCCCGCCCCCCCCCCAAAAAAAAAAAAAAAAAAAAAAAAAACAATCGTCATGTGTAGAAGGCTTATGAGACTCTTTTTATAGATAGTAATATAGATATAGATATATAGATTCTGAACTAATACAAAGCAATGCAAGCTTCTAGAAGCAGATAAAAACTACTTAAAAAAAAAAGATATAAATGAACAGATGTCAATTATAGGATCCTATAGGGATCCTTTTAATATATAGTGTATAGATATATACATCAGTTGATTGAAGGTAGTGCCACCAATCATTTACTTTGAACATCAGATAAACTATAGTTGACATCATAATTATGTGAGCCCCATAGTTTACAGATAAATGCTCAAATTCAGTTGGTAGTCTTTCTAAACGGTAGGACACTGCTAAATTATTGTATCAAAAGTTCAAAACATTAGAAAATCTGTAGTAATCATCATGTACATTAATGTGCTCTATCATGTTCTGAGGTTGTATAATTTTAAAATTTCTATCAAGCACTAGTCTAACTATGAAACACAATCTTCCATTCTTAAACAATACGAAAATTTTGAGGATAGTAAATAGTTTATGTTTCAGACATCATAACACTTGAGCAAGGGCTTCGAAACTAGGTATGGGCTTCTAGGCTCCTTCTTGTGATGCGAAGGTAGCAAACAACTGCCACCACCACAGCCATCACAAATCCCCCAAGGATGACATCTCCGCCTGCTGCAGACTTGTCAGATGAATAATGCTTCCCAATCGCTCTAATGACCGGTCCCTCTGCTATCATTTCAACTTGCAGTGTATCAGCATCTATTCCAGCTTCTGGTGAGATGATCCTGGAACCATTTGTTGCTTGAAACTTGACAATAAAGCTAAAACACTCGGCAGCTAAAATAATGCCAAGGTGACGAAACCGAGCCATAAAACTCAAATGAGGTGGTAAAACTTTTGCTCTTGCCATGAAACCTGGGTTGGTCATATATATAGAGAGAAGGAAGGTTGGACTGTTTCTTGACTGCCTGTTGATCTTATGATCTTTGTATAATATTTTTTTGAGGGGAGGTGGTGTTCGTGAAGGTATATTTTGGGGAGATCTAACTCTAAAGGTTTAATCCCCAGATACTCCTCAATTTAATTTACTGTATAGAAGGTGAGGAGTCAACAAAATGACAAGGACTAACAGCTGTGTTCCATATGATTGCTTTCAGAAAAAGAAAAGAAACAAAAAAAAAAAAACAGTTTGCCCTTGAATTGAATGAAGCATGACCATCAATACAACTTCACCGAACTAGAAAGTCGGTTTCAACAAATCCATCGAAGTTGTCTTCATGAATTTTTGTAAAGTTCTAGATGTTGTCTTTTCTTCTCATACGTATAAACCAATGTCTTCAGTATATATCTATTATTATTCCATGGTTCTTTTGTCTTTGTCCTTATTGCAGTTCAAGTTATAACCAAATTACTCCACCTCTGTCTCCAGGATGATTGGTCTTTATTTCACAATTTAAACAATCTAATATCCAGCATCAAGTTCAATTGAATGTCTATCAACAAACAGGGAAACTAAATTTCTAAAATAACCATGCAACATTTTTTCATTGTTCTTCTCAATAACCAGACTAAAAAATAATCAAGTTTCCCTCTCAACTATGATAAGCAATAGAATTCTTTAAGTCATATTATTACTTCTGCAATTCATTATGTTCTTGGTTAAATAAACTATAATCCTGGAATGGTCTTTCCAAATTCATAAATCAGAGAGACTCATCAATAGCACATTCAGATTTCAGAACAGTCTCGAATGCTTCTGATGATCTCTAACAGCAACTTCTCTGTCTGCTCAACCATGAGAGTATCCCCATAAATTCCCTGAAATCATAATAAATGTAACATAACCTTTTAGCTGGACAATTTAGGTTTATAAAGCTAAAGAAAGGATAGAGGTATGAACCATGAGATAGTGCACACATCACAACTATAGCACAAAATTTATAGGCAATATTTCAGTTTTTTTAGAAGGTAGCAAAAATGAGATATTTCACTGAAAAAGAGTACTAAGTTTTTGGTTTGTTGCCATCACATGGAAGTACAGAGGAGGAGATGTTGAGGTTTCTGCATGGTCTAGTGGAAATAGTTTTGTACTAGGTAGACTTACCTGTACGCAAGATGATATACGCATTGCTCCTTTAAAGGTGGTAACATTGGTTTCACTGAGCTCAAAGCCAAGGTAATTCATGGCCTCTATCAATTTTGTGAAGCAACCTCTTTTCTTCTCAAGGATAATCTTTATTAATAGCTTGTTCCCATCAATGTTGGTCACCTTAACCTCTTCCTGTATAAACATCACAATTGAATATTGACAGAGTTGTACTGATGAGTGAAAAAGATCATATTGGAGATAAAAACAATTATAATGTGACTGTGAGTCATGAAAAGAAAAGGGTGAACAACCTTAATCCCACATTTCTTCGGATCTTCTGCAGCATCAATTTCAATCCTTATTGGCTTCCCTTCCTCTTCAGATGATCCTTCCATTTGGAGTAGCTGTCCGCTGAGAACCTCTGAAGTCTTCTGCAGCTCCTGGATGTAAGTAATTGCATCCTCAATTATTGTTGCTTTGTTCATCTACAATCAGGAACAAGAGAGAAACATTACTATAAGATATGACAAAACATTTTGAAATTAGAAAATTGGAAATTTGAAATACAAAGATATAGGAATGTATGGGTTGTGGGTAGATGCATTTGTGATTATTGGGACAATTGAACGCAGACTCAGGAGCCTATCACTGAGTTTCTGCCTCCTCCGTCTCTCAGCATGGAGGTTCTTTGATTTGAATTCTTTGTTCTCATCATCATCGATCCTTCTCCTCCCCATTCTTCCTCTGCTAGGACCTCGATGATCAGTTATGGATATTCCAGTCATGTCAGAGCCTACAAATTCCATATCCACGGAGTCTTGCTAGTGCTCTTTGGGTTGTAGTATATTAAAAAATGCCAAGGGAAGAGAGAGCACTAGCAAAACTACAACATGGACATGGCGAGACCTGTTTTTATACACATGATTCTCACAAGTCACAAGGACATCGTTTGAGAGAAAGAATCTTGGCAGTTATTTTACTTGTTGGAGACAACAAAAATTTATCATTATTTTCATGATCCCATGCCCTTCTATTTGGACAAAGCTGCAAACCCAAAATTTCTCATCAACAAATTTTATAAAATATGGATATATTATATATCTATGATTGTAGTCATGGGTTTCATCGGGCAAATTCAACATCTAGCTAAAAACTCAAGAATGTAAAAACAGAGACTAGTAATTATGTGTTTGCTTCAATCTTTGGTCAGTATTACTTTCATGTCTTTGGTCAGTTAGCGGTATTTTTGACTGGAAAGTACAAAATGTGTGAGGCTTTGCTATGGCAGATATGAATTTTGTAGTACAAACTAATGTGGTCTAATTGAGGAAAAAGGGGCGCAATGCCATGCCAAAGTTGTGTACTTGCTTCAAGTGGCTTAATGTGCCATGTATGAGTTCGGCAATGATAGTTTTTATCGTCCTGTAATAATAAAGGAGAGAGTTTTTATTGTGTTGTAATACGAAAGGGTTTTGCATTTTTTTATCACAAATGTTACGGAACATACAAATAAAGACACATTTTCCATCTACAAATCTATGATGAAAATTTAGCATACATGCTTGAGATGAAGATAAATCATCGTAGCTGTTTTTGCTTTGAAATGGTGACCTCAAATACTATGTACCTCAATCCAGCCATGAAAATTTTCCCAGCTGAAAAAGGAATTTTATAACATTTATTATTATTAAGACAAGGAATTCAGCTTTTTCTCCAGCATTTTGGCCCTCCGAAGTGCATCCAAAGCCTCAGCTTGTTTGCCTGACCTTTTCAAGTTTACTGCCTTTACCTTTTCTGCCTTAATCCGCTCTTCCAATTGAATTCTTTCTTGGTCAACATTTTCAGTTTTGGCAGCATTGGGTTTTACGAGCTCTCGTCTTTCTGGGCCACGAGCCACAACACTGGAATCATCCAATCCAATTGCTTTCAGGGCAGACAAAAGTTGAGGATCGAGAAGATCTTCAACAACAACATCTACTGGTTCTGACCCAATGCTAGAAGACTTTGTTGAATCATGAGCAGCCGACTCTTCCAACTGTGCTTCTATAGACTTGGCTAATTCAAATTCAGCTTCTGCTTCCTGCATACGACCTTCTCTTCGCAGCTTCAAAGCCTGGCGCTTATGACTGAGGGATTTCTGTTGCAACTTGAAGCGATCACGCCCAGACAGTGGTTTCAGAGGCAAGCTTGATGCACCCAGCTCCTTTTCTGCATTAGAGCGAACAGTGGACGCAGATTTTGACACATCATTTGCACCAGATTTTGGTGGAGTGCCATCTTCTGCCAGACTCTTCTCCAACAGCTTTGCCCGCCTAAGTTCTTCTCGAGCTTCTGCCAATTTTCCATCTCTCTTCAAAGCAAGTGCCTTCTTCTGGTGACACAAAACTGCTTGCCTCAGTGAATCTTGGTTGTTCTGAGAACTACATCCCTGAACTGAACTCACATCAACTGCATATGACTTCTGCTCTCCGTTAACCACTCTACCGTTTCCTGTTTTATATTCATCATTGGTTCTAAGATCTAGGGAAGCCAACTGAACATTGGCTCTATCAAGAGAAGAGAACTTGGATCCAAAATCACCTTTCTCTTCAAATTTCACTGATATCTGTGAACTTGTCAGGTCATCGCCAGTCAACAAGTCCAATATGTTTGCAGACTGGTCGGATGGAGGGACACAACTGGTAATTTCAACTTTTCCCTCACCACCTAGAAGTCCCATTGCACCTGAGAGATCCAATTTTTCTAATGAGGGTTGGTTGTCTTGTACAGGCCTGGAGGTTGCAGGAAATAACAGATCGGAATTCCTCAGGGTAGGACTATCTCTATCACTCTCCACTCTTCCTAAACCCATTGATAATTGTACAACTGTTTCACTTGGTCCCACTGCCACTGCAACTGCCCCCTTCTTTGCTGTCACTTCATTCCCTTGCCTCTCAAGGTTAGTAAATGATTCAAAGTTCACAGGTTTACTGTCCTTGGACGAATCAAGCACCAGCTCACCTTTCGAAGCTTCCAATTCTGCCATTTTGGCTTCCAGTATCTTTGCCCTTTCCAACAATTCCTCAGCCTCTTCAGCTTGCCCATTTCGTCTAAGTGCAAGAGCCTTTCTTTTCAAACCCAGAAGTTCTCTTTGGATTTCCCCTTTACTTCTTGGTGGTGAAATTGAAATGCCTGAAAAGGGTTGACTGACGGATAGATGGCTGGAATGTAAAGACTCACGGGCAAGATTTTTAGAGTACTTTTCTTGCATAGTTACAGGTTCAAGTTCTTCATCCTTCCAACCCAAATTTTTTAGTATTGAGAGCATAGCTGGATCAGTCATATCATTCTCTGCAACATTCTCTTCATCTGCTTCTTTCCTAGAACCTTTAAGGGGAGGTACAGTGGCTTTTTCGTTTGGCCACTTTGATTCAACCACTTTCTTTGGTGCCTCCATCTCTGCCATCTCAGCCTCCAATGCTTTTGCTGTTTCCAGCACTTCCTCTGCCTCATCAGTATTTCCTTGGCGCCTTAGAGAAAGAGCTTTCCTTTTCAAGCCTAGTAGCTCCCTCTGTATTTCAGCTTTAGTTCTTCTTGATGCCTTAGCTGGGATTTTAAGAGGAAAATGGGTCAAAGAAGATTCAATAATTTGCTCAGAATCTTTTTGTTTAGAATGTTTCGGCAAAGAGTTTGAAAGCTCATCATCATTGTCATTCCAACCTAAGTTCCTTAGGATTGAAAGATATGTTGGATCATTCATGTCTTGATCTGTAACATCTCCTTCAACTGGCAGAGTTTCTGATACATTAGGACACTCGTCTGTCAAATCCTTCCCCTTACTGCCAGTAGTTACCTGTGCAACCTTCATGTTGGAAGCATTCTCCATTTCTTCAAGCTGGCGCTCAAGAATCTTGCCCTTCTTCAATTCTTCCTCTGATTCATCTAATCTTCCTTCCCTTCTCAAAGCAAGGGCTTTCTTCTTCAAACCCAGAAGCTCTTTCTGAATCATCAATCTACTCTTTGGTGAAGGTTTCAAATCCACATCTTTCATAGCATTAACATTTTCATCACCCAACTTAACTGACTTCACTGATACATCAGCAGTGTGAGGGGATGGGCCATTTTGATTAACTGTCAAATTCTCCGGTTGAGAATCAAAGTTTTCAAGGTCCTTCTCAAGTAACTTTGCCTTCTTAAACTGAGACATTGCCTCTACAAGATTACCTGTCTGCTTTTGTCTAAGAGCCTCTCTTTTTAAAGAAAGAATTTCACTTAACAGTGCCTCCCTGTTAACAGGAGCAGACTGAGCCATAACATCTTCAGTAGGATTAGAATCCTCAGTCCAACCTAGTGATTTCAGAGCAGCAGCAATTTCTGGATCCTCCATATCCTTATCAGTTACTTCAAAATTACTATCAACACCAAGATCATCAGTAGTTCCCTCAAGGTAATCAAAGTCAAGGCCTTGCATATGCTCATACTGGATTAAGATTTCATCCTGTTTATCATTGTCCATACTATGGATTATTGCAGATAGCTCATCATCAGAATCTTCAGCGGCAGCCAATAGCTCTTGTTCCTCGACTTGCTTCTCTAAGACTTTAGCTCTCTTCAGTTCTTCCTTTGCTTCTGCAAGCTTCCCTTCACGCTTCAACATAAGAGCCCTTTTTTTAATGGCAACAACCTGGCTCTTTTCAGAGCCATGGGCATTAATCTTCTTAGGAATTTTTCCCAGAAGAGAAGAAAGTTCACCCTCCAAACTCATACTTGTGGATCTTTTATCGTCATCACGTAGATCCATATCAGACCACCCCAATTCCCTGAGTTCAGCAGCCAGGTCACCCTTATCCCCACCTGTTGGATGAGGGACCTTATTCTTTCTACTAGATTCTTTAGTGGCATCTTTATTCTGTAGCTCAGACATGTTTCCAGACACCAAATTTTTTTTACGGTTTTTTCTTATATATATCCCCAAAGACTCAGCCTGCCTCTCTAGTTCCTTCCCTCTCTTAAAGGCTCTTAGAGCTTCCTCAGGTTTCCCTTCTCCTTTTAGAATTTTATACTTCCTTTTCTCATCCAATGCTTGCTGGCGCAATTCCTCAGGACTGGATGATGTCATCTCATTCTGCATAAGCTGATCAACGGACTGACTTCTACGTATTTCTCCTCCCCCATCATGAGTGATAACTACTTGAACATTGGAACATGAACTACTACTTGTTGCCCTTTGAACACTAGGAGTCAAGTCATTTTTGGAAGCTAATCCTGATGAAGACGACTCATTACTGTCAGCACCTAGAATCTGGCTCAAAACGTCATCCTCATCTCTTGCAACTGGTTTCAAACTACCTGCACAAAACAGCTAAACCATTTAATATTGAAGGTAAATCCTCTGAGTGTTGGTAGTGATAGCTGACATCCATGAGCAAACAAACAAGTGAACCATATACAAACTTATACCTACAAATTTTAACTTCATGTGATCATTAATTAGTTTTACAAGGAGGAGAGAAACTTAATAAACCTGAAACTCATCTTTCTAATACCAAGCCATTTATACAAAACGAAAACAAAGTGAGACAATAGTATCAGTGATCAAATGGCAAATGCACTACACAGTTAAAAAATGAACCGATTTTAGGAAATTACCAAGAAAAAAAAAATACCTCTCCCAGCTCTACTTTTGTATCCATGGCGCAACTCAAATCGAGCGGCTTCTTCTAGGTTTTTACAAGGTTCACAAATACGTACAGGGGCATCACCCTGCCCACGCAAAACCATTCTTTGCTGTGTGCAAGTACTGCAAAATATACCCCCACACCTTCGGCAGTGATGCTGATAATCCAGAGTAAATGAACACCAATAACTAGAATAATTATCATAATTATCATAGAAGAAAAAGATTATACATATTGGTTCCCTAAAGTAGGATCCTAATGAAACACAAATCTGAAATTTCCATCGTTAAACGTCAATAAGTTAACCAATCAACAATCTCAAATTCCAAAACAATCATTCCATATCAAAGAAATTCTAGAAGTATTCTAAAATACTTAAATTTTGAGTAAACTTAGAACCAACCCACATATTCAGAAATTTAAAATAACAAATTTTGAGACATGGGTATTGAATTAGAGAGAAGAAAAGACAAGAATCCATAAAAAGGAAAAAGATCAAGGGATCAAAACTAAAACCTTGCGATTGATGAAGGTGAACTGAGAAGAACATCCTTGGCAATGTGAAGCATCAACCACCCAATTATTCCCTCTCAAAGATGGTTTTGCTGGCAATCCGATCTTCTCCAACATCTCCTTCTCTATTTATTTAAAACAAAATCAAAGAAAAGCAAAGAATTTTTTTTCTCTATCTGCCTTTAATCTTTATTGTTCTCTTTCTTTCTTTCTTTCTTTCTTTTTCTTGGATTTTCGTTTATTTTTGATTTTTTGGGTAGATTTATTGCGAAGAGAGGAAGCAAAAATATAAAGTCTGCAAGACTTTTTTGTTTAGAAAAAGTGTTGATGATGAGGCTGACGACGACGACGACGACGTACTTCAATTCCGGAGAGACCCGGCAACGGCGTCGTTTCCAGTTTGGCCTACATATAGCGAGAGACCAACTCAAAAAGAATTTGAGCCCTAACTTTTAGCAGGCCGATGTGGGCTACTCATGGCCGATCATTGGTTCTACTCTTTCAACGCTATTCAAGAGCCCAAATCAGAAGACATTGAACTTGGTTAACCGTTTAGGCCGGCTAGTAAAAGTCCAAAATCTAGCTTGGTTCTCCTTTTTTTCCATGGTCCAAATCGGCTCTGATTATAGCCTATAAATGTAAGAAGAAATTTTAACAGAAAATTGATATGATAATTGGTATATTTATATCAATATTAATAATTTATATATTTATATAATATTTTATATAAAAATTATGTGTCATTATTTTGTATTCATATAAAAATATGAAAATTTTTTATTATTATTTTAAAATTTTTTAAATTTTTTATTAAAAGTTTTAACTGTTTTATCTTTGTATCTTTATTTGTACCGTTTTTATATCATTTTTATCTTATTATGATTTAGATTGCCATCGAGAGACCAGCATCTCACAAATTGGTTGGACTAAAAAATATCGCTATAATCAATGATGTTGGCGAATTTTTCTGGGAGTGACACTGCCTCTTTCGAGGATGTTGGTCCAACCCTTTTCACTGTTCTTCAGGAGTGCTTATGCATGCAGTAAGATGTTTCAGCTTGAACAGGCAACATAGTCCCGAAAAACAACTCGTAAAAATTGAGAATCATAAAAAAAGAAGACATGGCAATTGATTTCTGAAAAATTTTCTTCAAATGAAAGAAAAAAAAAATTAGTTGCATGCACTCATGAGTTAGGGTACTCATGACCCATGAGTCATACAGCACAATTATAAATCAATGGCTGCAAAATACCAATTATCAGTAGCATGATCTGCTCACTGCGGGAAGGCAATAAGCCCCTCAAAATTAATAGCCATTTCCTCGGAGTTGGATCCATCGGCCGGGAAAGGAAGACCCAAATTTAAAATTTTGGATTATACCCAGAAAAGTATACATCAAAACATAAAGAGCGAAAAAGACAAGATTGGAATATTTTATCAAATTAAGCCTCCGTTTGGTAAGCATGAAAATAATTTTTAAAAGTTATTTTTTTATTTTTTATTCTTTGGATAACTTAAAATAATATAGTCAACAGAAAATAACTTCTAGTCAACGGAAAAAAAGTAAGGCAAAACACAGAAATTGTCTTCCATATATTTTTTTTTTGTGAAAGCTAATTTTCATAACACATCAATTCTAAATTAACTTAATATATGATACGATAATAAGTTATAAAAAAATTATATATATATTTTAAAAAAATATATCACATTTATTCATGTCGAAACAATATAATTTGTTTTTTATATTTGTTGACACATTTAAACACACGACATGAATAATATATTTAATTTGATTTTATTACACAAGTACATGTTTAATATGTTTAATACGTTTAATATTTTTTTTATATTTAATTTAATTTAATATAAATATATAAAGATTATTTTAATTTTTAATCTTTTAATTATTATACTTAATTAATTATTTAATATCATATAAAAATTATTTTAAATATTTAATTATGATACTCATTTAATAATTATTATAAAATTATTTTTATATTAATAATATAAATATAAATATTAGTCCTATATATTATTATTATTTTATTTTTTAATCTTTAATAGTTTATTTTTTAAATTTAATACTAAAACTTAATATAGTTATGTAATATATATTAAAATTTAAATATGTATTAAATACATATTAAAAATATTTTTTAATATGCAAGTACTGTTTATTATTATTAATATATTAAGTTTATTAAGTTATAAATAGTTGATATTTTATAATTATTTATTATTTTAATCATATTTTTATATATATTCATATTAGTTGTATTTATTCATTATATTAATATCATTTGTGTTTATTTGTGTATATTTATATTATTTATGTTATTTATATCATATTTAAACAAAATAATTATATATGTATTAATCGTATTGTATCATATATAATACGAATAATAAACTTATTATATTTATATTTAAAGTTTAAATATATTTTTATAATTTATATTATATTTATATTTTAATAATTCACGTATCAAACACGTTAGGAACACAAAAACATGAATTGTCTACTTATCTAACGGTCATGAATCCAATTCCCCAATCCAGAACCATCAGCTTCCTCTCCTTGCAGCAAGCAGCCAACCACACCTTCCTCCCCCTTCGACAAAGACGGCCTCCCCCAAATCTCTTGACACCCATCTCCTTTGCGAAGAGACCATCCAGATTGAGACAGAAATCTTTCTTGCTCACCTTTGTAAGAGCTGTGTTGGAGATGACTTTGTAGATGAAGCCATTGATTGCAAAGTATATGGGTTTTGATGAGTAGTTGACGCTGAATCGATAAGTCTCTTGCTTGGATGTCAAATTCATTGAAAGTTAGGTCGGTGTGGCAAGCCTAGAACCAAAGGAGAATAGTGAAGAACAAGGTCTGGGTGGTTCTTCAACGCACACAGAGCCAAAATCTGCTTTACTTTGCTCTGTTTTGGATTGGTTTCAGATCTTCTGAGTTAAAAAAGTATAATCTGAAGTGTGAATTTTTAGATCTGAAGTTACAGATTCTTTTTATACTTTTCATTAAATGCCAAACACAGAAAAACAACTTCTAATGAAGTTATCAAACAATTGAAAAAAATTTTTTTTTTAGAAGTTCATTTCCATCGAAAATATTTTCTCTTCGGAAGCTCATTTCCGGTTACCGAACGAAGCCTAAGTGGAAATAGAAGTTTGGGAACTTACACGCCAAGGGCAGAAGGGAGAGAGATATCAGTTGGGATTGAACCGCCATGAAAATCTTTAAAGTCGTAATGTTGCCACTGAAAGTTTTTTTCTTTGACATTTTTCTTTTGTTTCTTTGAGTCTTTAAAAATAGATTATTATAAACCATCCGAATAAAGCATTAATAATACATTATTATACTTGTAACTTTTAGATTTGACTCAAAAAAGAAAGAAAAAAGTGATATGGATTACCCTTTATAATGCATTGGCAATATAAGATTAGGGTGTCAACTTATTTCAAAAGTTATTTTAAAATAACATTGAGCATGCAATGGTACAACAGCGAATGAGAAATTTGACAAAAACATGAACGGATTGCAACTGATAGAAGAAGCAAAGCAAAACACCTCATATTAAACCCTTTCATCAACCAACAACAACCATTTTTGGTAAAAACAGCGACCCTTGTACTGGTGGTGGACTTACCAAGAGAACAATTAATGCGTCAATTCATTCAAGCAGGCGAGAACCTTCAATTTCCACCTCAAAAAAGTTGTGTCGTACGTGCAATCTGGTGAAGCACATGCTCGAAAAGCTTGTTTTGTCCTTTTGTTCGGAGGTTGGCAGGCTGCGCTTTGCTCTTTTTTACCCTTATTATTTAATTCTTAATTATATACATCTATATTTGATTAGAACTTCATTATAATTAATCGAGCTTGAAAGGCTCGATTAGGAGAGATAGGATGTGTCTTCGGGTCTCTTGGTCTTGAATGCCAAACCCATCTCCAAATTGATACAGGCAATGCACCATACGAGCAACATTTGTGGTAACTTTGACAAAGGTTTGTAGCAAAGGTGATTGATTACTTAAGCATTGGCCATTTATTTTCTTCCATGTGTCGGTTATCATCTCCTTAATATGCTCACGAGCTTTTTCTTCTGAAGAATTTACTTCTCGCATGTAGCAGAGGATTGATGATGGAGCATCCCCTCTCTCTTTCTCTGCCTGTTGGAAATCGTTGATTCAATCATTTTTCTTAAGCAAAATATTAAGAAACTTGAGACAATACATGAATAGACAATTACCACTGAAGTTCCCAAGTCGTTGCAGAGTCGGGTTATAACTGATATATTGTAGACAAGATCTTGATTTTTGCCCAAGAAATCGACCATTTCATTTGCTACATCATGCCCCAAAGAAAGTATTGAGTGGACAGAAATAACAATGCCTCCGGATGAAATCAATGCATTGCTCAGATACTCTTGAAGTGAAGGGGAATATCCTTCACTATACCACTTTGCTTCCACAAATAGTGCTCGACAAAACCCTGCCCACTGAAAATAAAAGCTAAACGTAAACATCTAACGTAAACCCAACAAATGGACATGGAATGAAGCATTAATTAATTAGTACCGCTTTCCTCAAATGAAGTAATACTTGGACATCCCAACCATTGAGTTCATGGATGTCATGAGCAATTTCATTGATAATATCATATAGAGCTTGGAAGCATATCTTCATGCACCCTGGCAGCTGCTGAATTTTGCTTGAATCCCAACTGAATTTAAGATTTAAAATTTTCAATAGAAATGCTTTACAAAAATGGCATAAGTGTCTACTGCATGCTGCACGTAGGTAAATATTGTATACTTTACCTATCAACAGCATCGGTGAATTGCTCTAGCTCTTCTAGGGAACCATAAACATCATAAACATCATCTATTATCAATATCATAGTGGTGATCTTAGTGAGGCATTTTCTGAAACAACTATATTGAGGCTCATAAGCAAGTCCAACTGCACACAAGAAACTTTCAGCCAGGCGATCCCTTGTGAAGTTTAAATGTTCCATCAGTCCCAAATTCCTCCACCACCTTAATACATAGAGAAGAAACAAATCAAGATCTTTAATTTGTTAATTTTACTCAAAAATTGTGAGGGAAACTTTTTATAAGTTTTTTCAGGTTTGTCACCTGGAAATTTCGCTTAGATCTTTCTGAAGGGTAGCTTGGACTATGTTAAAGTTAAGTTTAGCCAGTTCAAGTAAAATTTTGTCTACGTTTTTATTGTTCTCGCACATGGTGATGTGCCATTTGACATCAAACCACTGTACCCTCCAGTGCGTTGGAAGCTCCAAAGCATGGACCACTTGCTTGTCTAAATTTGTACCCAGAGCAGAATAAACACTCCTAAGAGTTTCTGTTGAGAAAACTTTAGCCTCTTCCAAAATGTTTTCTCCTTCGAAAGCCAGATATGAGGCCTCAAAAA